CTGCTCCTCTCTCTCCCCACCCCCATCCCAGCAAAATACCAAACAGCCAAGTATCTTCCCAGAGGATTTATTCCAAAGCCACAGGGTTCACCGCAGACTCCGCTCTGGACAGACACTGGCCAGCCCGGCACCTCGGACTGCTGCAATCGCAAAGGTAGTTGACATCAGGACTGTGTGCGCACCTGGAGACCCAGAGTGGACCCGGCCAGGAGTCAGGACTCAAGCAGCAGGACTGCAGCATGAAGAGAACACGGAATTCAAGCTCCCACAGCACAGAAAACGAGAACACGGCAACATCACACAGTCCGAGCACTTCTGCCTTGTGGGCTGTTTGCTTAACTCACGATATGACAGAGCCAACCACAGTCAAATATTATCTTGGGCTCAAAAAGATAAGCTACCCTTTTATGCTTTCTGAGTTGGCAGGGAAACATGCAACAAAACCCAACCCTGTGAAGCTATAGATAAACCAGTACAAGGTGTCTTACCAATGCTATCACAACTACGCAGAGCCTTCTGGAAACAGGTGGGCAGTAAACTCAAGACTCATCTATGATGTAACACAAGGACCTAATTCAGAAGAAGACAAAATGCTAGGTGTACAAACATGCTGTTTCACAAGGAAAAACCAGAAAGTCTAAACAGAGAAATGCCTAAGTATGGTTCATCAATGCAAAAAAAGGATGTGCCACCATCAAAACAATAACTATCGGCTACTTTTGCAAAAAAAAAAACAATAAAGTGCACATAGCTATACACAGTTAAAAACTAAAAAGAGCTTTAGGAAATGACAGTGCTGATGGCTTCATGGGCTGGGCTGGGCCAGGCCCAAATATTCATATACCGAAGTCCTAATGCGCAGGTACCTAAGAATGAGATTGCATTTGGACACAGGTCATGGAAGAGGTGATCAAGTTAAAATCAGGTGATTAGGGAGGGCCGGTCCCACCAACTGCACTGGCTTCCTTCTAAGCAGGGGGATTAGGACACGGAGAACAGAGGGAGATCACGCGAAGACACACGAGAAGGTGGCGGTCTGCGCGGGGATTAGGACACGGAGAACGGAGGGGGATCACGCGAAGACACACGAGAAGGTGGCGGTCTGCGCGGGGATTAGGACACGGAGAACGGAGGGAGATCACGTGAAGACACACGAGAAGGTGGCGGTCTGCGCGCCAGACAGAGAGGCTTCCAGAGAGACCAGCCCTGCTGACACCTTCATCTGGCCTTCCAGCCTCCAAACTGCGAGAAAAGTCACTTCTGGGTGTTTAAGCCACGGTGGGTGGCACTTCGTTATGGCAGCCCCAGCAAACTAATACAGTTAATGTGGCCTAATTACAGGTGAAGATTTTTTCTTCTTCCAAGTACTTCCTAAAACGTTTCAGAGCTGACTCACCAACACCGGCTCCAGCGACATGAACACCCTCTGCCGAAGCCCATTCTCTCCTCTCCCCCAGTGGTTTTAACGCGGCTTCACAAAGGAAAGGGAGCGAGAGGGGAGACTTTTGGCTTCATGAGGCTGAAGAAATGCCAACTGCAGGACCCTCCCTCCACAGCAGAGCACTCTAAAGGACAGCCTGGACCACCGTGAACTGCAGAGAGCCCCCCGTCCTCAGCTCCTGGCCACACCCTTCCCCCGCGTGCCACCCAGAGCACACCTGCCAGGAGGGAGGGTCTGGTCCGTGCCGAGTGCTGCAGGCTGGCCCTTTAAACGCCAGGTCAGCTAACTGAACACCCCGAGATTCTGGCACTCTGAGGAAGAGCCGCAGGGAAGGATCTGAACCCAGCTCCCTGAGGGCGGGAAGAGGGGTGGGAGGGCTGCACAGGTCTACCCAGAGTTCCCCACGTTCCGGGCTCGTCGCTAGTATGGCACAGGCCAGGTGAGAAGAGGCAGGAGCGGGTCCCCTGACGTCCAAGGTACAGAGAAGTGTGACACAGGGCACAGGTGGCAGGAGGAGGTGACGCTTGGCAACCTTCTTGAGACAGGCAGGAACCCGGAGAGCGGAGCGAAAAGATGGGCAGGCACATGGAAACCAGAGCTGGATGCGCTGTAGACAGGACTTGCTCTCTCCGTTTCTCTCCTCTCCTCTCTCTCCCGGAGGTGAAGGGCTGGGGCCTGAGTGGGCCTCACAGGAGCCCTGGGAGGTGGGCTGCAACCCCCAGCCTGGGGCTGCAGTCCTAGAAGCAGCCGAGCAGGAAAAGGTCCAAGCTCAGATAAGAATCTGAGATTGAGGCCAAGAGCCCTTGAGTCTGGTTACCAGACCCGGGACACGAGAGCACCCAGGGGACACAGAGCAAAGCTGACTCGTTGCTGGTCACCTGAGCAACAAGTCAGGAGTTTCTCATTTACCTGACCTGAAGGTCAATACGAGTTTTCTGGATGAAAAGAGCAAACTAAGGAGTTAAGGACAAGCAAAACGCACTGTCTCACGACAGGCCTGGCTTCACAGCCTGCGTGAGGGTGGGTGAGTTGGAGTACGTCACCCCTCCCCCCGGGGCACGAAGACGGCACGCTAAAGCTGCTCCCTAACGCGTCCCAGGGCCATGAGAAGCACGGCAGGCTGCCGAGCACCCGTGTCTGAGCCCAGACGGCGAGTCCAGCTCAGAAAGCAGCCTTCCTTGGGCTGACCCTATCTGCACCGGGTCCCACGCAGCCCTCTGCCCCCTCTAGGAAAACAGAGAAGAGAGAAGTGAAGACAAAGAAACGGGAACGGAGGGTTCCGACACTCGCCTCTCCCTCCAAGTCTCCACCTTCTCAGCCCAGGTGGCACTCAGAGACTGAGAGTCCTTCCCTTGGGAATGCGAATCCACCACTTCACGTCGGGGAGTGGAGCGAGCAGGTACACTGTGCCTGTGAGCAGGGCTGAACAGAACAGTGATCCGGGGTACAACTGAATCTCAGGATGGTAGAAGACGATAGAAGGAATTCACAATATCCAGTGGAATCAGCCACAAGCCCTTCCTCCAGAGAAAGAGGAAAAAGGCCGCACACAGCCAGGTGTCCTCACGATCAGATGTCACACAGTGAAAGGGTCTCGTCAAGCACAGCGAGAGTCTGGGAAAAGCCGTGCAGGGCCTTCCTCTGCTCCCTCGTCTGAGGGCGCACCCCAGGCATGCTCCCCTCACAGCAGCAAGCAATGGAGCAAGGGTTGTGCCAAGGTTTTCCTGGGGGCTGGGCACTTAAGCACTGCCTGCCTAGAAGCAGGTGCTCAACAGAAACCACGCTGCTTATGTGGAGTCAGACACAGTGAACCATCCTTATCAGCTAGGGAATGAAGGGACAGACAGTTCAAGCACAAAGCTCCCCACACCAGCCAAGGGCCAACTTCCTGAGCAGACCCTTCTGAAGACAGCAGTCCTGGTGGCTTGCTGTTAACTCTTTCCTGCAGTGGTTTGTAAATGAGGCAGAGACACAGAAGGCAGAGTCAGAGATGGTTAGGGAGCCTACCAACCTGAAAGCTACATTATTTAATTGTAACACATTCTGTACTCTTGACAACAGCAACCTTAGGGTAAGAGACAAAGCTATTAACAACAAAGTCGCAGTTACAGGAGGTCCCTATGATGGGCGAAGAAGGCTGAAGCAGGAGAGCTAAGCTGAAAGTGCATCTTTCAGTTACTGAGTGGGGAAGCGTGTTGCCTTTGCAAGAGCACCAGGGCACCCTCCTTCAAGATCATCCAATTCGCTGCACCCCCTTCTCCGAGTCCAGTGAGCAAACTTCCGACAGCAGTCTTGGTCCTCCTCCTAGGAAGAGAATGCGCTGACCAGCTGGCACAGATCTGACTTCATGAACCAGTGATGTGGTCCACCAGTCAGGCTCACGAAATGACAACAGGGACCATTCATTAGGCACCCAGGTCTACGCGAGTCATTCTGCGGATCCTCCCAAGTCTCTCACCAAGTGTTTTGTATTTTGCAGGAAAAAGCAGAGAACCAGACTGGTGAACTGAGCTGCCCAGAGTCACACTACCGGAAGTGAATGACACAGGATTAAAATCCAGGTGGTCTTATCTCTACAACCCATATTCTTTCCGTTCGATTACACTCTTTCTCTGACTGAGAAGCCAGGCTGGCATCAGTTTCCCAAGACCCGCTCCCCCTGTGAGTCTGAGAATCTACAGGAGTCAAGGAAGACCCAGGTCACTCTGTCACAGTGCCTGCAACAGCCCTTTAGCTTCACCCATCCCCAGAGCCACGAAACCACCCCAGCCGCTCTTCTACTGTTGGATAAGGTTCTGTCCACCGGCCAGGAAGCCGGGGAAGAGTCATGTCGGTGGCGGAGGAAAGCTGTCCTTCGCTGAGCACCTCCGTGGGCCAGACACCTTCTTCTCGAGCTCATCTCACGCTCAAGAACTTCGCGTCACAGATGAGGACACCAGAGGCTCTGAGTGTTGAGGTCACCTGTCCAAGAAGACCTCCAGTGACGGTGCAAAGACCTTCCCGTTCGAAAGGCTGCATCTCTGCCACCGTCGCAGGCACCCTCGGGGCTTCGTTTCACGTCCTCCCAAGATAAGGAACCCCCTGGCTGAGCTCTGCGGTCCAACGCCCTCTTCTCAGCCAGTCTAACGCCCCCTCTTGCCGCAGAGAAAAACATCACCCAGCGGGTCCACGTCTCAGAGACGCTGCTCCGCCCGCCCTTCACCGCCGAGGGCAAGGCGCAGAGAAGCGCCCCTGCCCCGCGGGCGGCATCGCCCCAAAGTCACGGAACATCGCGGCGAGGCGGGGAGCCACCCGCCGGGGTCACCAGGCAGCCCCGCGCCTCAGCCCGCCCGGATCTCCGGGCCCCGCCCGCGCCCGCCACACGGGCCTCGGACTACCCCCCGCCCCGACCACTCCAGCCGATGCCCCGGCCCGCGGCCCCTCGCCGCGCTGGCTCCTCACTCACGAGTCCCCGGCGTCTCCGGCCGCCGGGACCCCCTCGGCCTCCCTCAGACCTCCGCCCCGCCTCCCGCGCCGCGGGCCCCTCCTCCTGTCAGCCCGCGCCCCGCAGCCAAGCTACCTTCTCCAGAGATGCCGGTCTCTGCACAGCCAGGGAGCGGGCCAGCGACAGGACAGTGTTGAAGTAGAAACCCCGCGAGGCGCCGCCCACTCGGGCGCCCGTGATTGGCTCCGCCCGCCCCTGGCTGCGCGCCGAAGCCCGCCTCCCTCGCAGCTAAAGCAGACGGTACCCGGAGCGGAGCGAGCCAGAAGGGAGCATGGTCCCCGCGCCGCGGCCGCGCCAGCCCCCGCCGCCGCCGCTGCCGCCGCCGCGGATCTAGCTGCAGCCCCGTGGGCCGAGGCCACGGCCGCCAGCACCGGCAGGTCCCTGTCGCTCATGTACGAGTCCGAGAAGATCGGGGTCGCCTCCGCCGAGGTGAGGGCGCTGTCTCTGGGGGTGGGGGGTCTCGCCCGGTCAGCCAGGACGGGTCGTGAGCTCTAGTCACTGGACGGTCGGTAACAGTCCGTCAGCGACGTTAAGAGACGCTGTCTTCACGCCCGTAGCGGCAGTTTGCTCTCGGCGAACTCCGGAGTTTAGTCCGCCGGAGTGTTGTTTTTTTCCCTACTTGTTGTCGAGAGGCATGTCCACGCTGTCCGGTTCAGGTAAGTAGAGACTCTGGATAGCAGAGCCCGGGTTAGGGGCGTGGAGTGTCTGTTCCTTTTACACGTCTCCTGGGCAGAGGCCGAGGCCCGGGGGCTTCAGCCCTTCCTCCTGCGCCTATGGTGTCAAGCATCCGAGGAAATGGGTCTTTGGGTTCTTTCTGGCACCGAGCGCCCCTCCAGCTCGCCGAAAGGGGAGCAGAGGGGTCTTGTCTGCCTGGACGCTGCTGAGTGCCCCAGAGTCCGAGTCGGGTCGAGTCTCCAGGCCCTTAGATTTCCTTGCCCATCCCAGCCAAGACGTCCTAGCCATACAGGTGCGGTCTGTGACTCTCTGCGGCACCAGCTCACCTGTCCTCCTCCTCCGCATCCATAGGTGGTTTCAGAGGTGTTAGGAACTTGGGTAAGAGCTGTTGTCTCTTAGCCACTGCAGTTCTTGCCCCAGCCCACTCACTAATGAAACGCTGAGATTGGGCCTTATTTTTAAATGTTCTTAAGAATGTAATAACAGGAAAGTTATTGCTATATCAGCTACAAATAGTTAACTTTAAGCATTTGTAGCTCGTTGTTTTTCTCACTGCGTCTCTTTATAATTTTCTCTTTTGGCACACTTTCCTCAGAGCTGGTCACTTGCAGTCTCTTAGGATTTTGAGGTCCATCCCAGCATTCTCCCGCCATATCCTTAATTGGCCCATCCTGCCTGTCTTTAGCCTCGCTAAGGGAGTTTATCTTGTGTTTGCTGGATTCCTATGTTGGAATCTAAATAGAAGGTGTTGTCTTACATTTGGGAGGATTCCCTGAGGTCTTAGGGCCTAGGTGGAAGGGTCGCTTGGTTAAAGGGCCCAGGCCCAAGAATGTCAACAGAGAACTGTTTAAAAAGGCATCTCTGACAATTGAGAACAGGTGAAGTAGGAAGCCAGCGGAACAAGAAGAATAGCGAAGCAGAGGAGACCTTGGAATCTGACTTCTATGGCTAAGGTGTAGATAAGGGGAGGAGGGAAGTTCCTGAGGAAGAGAGGAGCCAAGTTGCACACTGGCCAGGCCCTGCAGCGCCGGGGCTTCTGAGCAGGGAAGTGCTGCCCAGGGAGCTTCCACGAAGGGCCTGGAGGAGGAGCTTGGGACCTGGTGCAGTCAGAGGGAAGGTCGGGAGTGCCAAAAACACAGGGACTGTGGGGACAGGCCCCACGCCACCCCCCAGGGTCCTTCTCTCCAATAATGGGGACCATGAGAGCAACGACAGAGCGGCTCCTCAGGCCGTGAGGCTTGACCTGGCCAAGCCAGGTGTTGTCCAAGAGGTGCAGCATTATGGGGACTGGGCAGGTGCCAGGCTCTGTCATCACGTTATCACACACTGACACTGCCCAGGGCTGAATCAGTTCTCAATCATCGGCTCTCAGAAGCAGGACTGGTCAGCACCCCCACACCACCCCACCCCACCCCACACTCTCCAAGTGTTCTAAATCTCTCTCATCACTCTCTTATTTTCCTGGGAGGTAGGGTGAGCTCTGTCCCAGCTGATCCAAGTCACCTGATCCGCTAACCTCCTGACTCAAACGGGAACCCACCACATACCGCTCACTGAGACATGTCACAACAGGACACAATTTTTGAAGGGTTGAGACTTGACTTTTTTAGGTCGGGAAGATCATAATTAAGGCCCAGTGTGGCAGCAGCGGGAAAGTCACTCAGGTCACCTCTCAAGGGAGAGCTGCCCTTCTCATGAGAAACCTGCAGGGGTCACCTCTCAGGGAGGCGATCACCTCGGGTCCTGACCCCAGAGGACTGAGGCAAAGTGGGCCGGCCTGAGGAGCACCGTCCAGAACCACAGAGACTTGTGGGCCACCCGACTCTCCTTCACAGGCACGATTTGTTTCTTCTCTCTTCCTGAATTTTAATTTCTGTGACAATAATCCAGTCACAGCCTTCAAAGCAGAGGACACGTGGAAGGCTGCAAAGGCTCCTCCCACCCCGCCTCCCCGCTCCCAGCCACTTACTTCTGCCCCTTCTGTGTCCCTGTGGAGGGATTCTATGTGTGAAGATACACTTAACCATCATTTCTTTTTTTTTCTTTTTTAATTTTAACTTGAGCAGAAGTGTACTGTATGTTCTAGATGGCACATTGTTTGGCAGGGTGGAGGGCATTTCCCTAGCAACGTGAGACCTGCTGCTTTTCCCACCCTGACGCCTGTAGAATCTTAGTTCCCCACCGGGGATCAAACCCAGACCCAGCAGTGGAAGCACAGGGTCCTAACCACTGAATCGCCGGGGAATTCCCGCACTCTCTGTTCTCTGGGCTGTGTCGTGGTCCCTCTAGTGGATGACCTGTGTCTCTGCAGCCAGTCCCCTGATGCCGGGCCTTTGCCTGTTTGTGTCCTATGTGAGTCTTTGTGAGCCCTTTCACCACCCTGGCCAGGGAGACTGCCTGCTCCGCTCTGGCCACTGACGTTTTGTGGGGCCTGGGGTCTCAGTTCAGGTTGATGGTCTGAGTCCATCAACAAACGCTGGACCAGGGCCTGAGTGGCCAGCATGGTAGCATCGGCAGAAAGGGAGTTGGGGAGGGGCCCGCAGGAGACCATGTGCAGATGTGGAGCTGGGCCACCGAGAGCATCACGGCCAACACCCCGCTGAGAGCATCCTGGCGCGGCCAGCGCACCTGCACACAGTCTCCTGCAGGCCCCTCCCCTCCATGGTGTCTCTCCACACTCCACAGTCACCAAAGCCCCACTGGGCGCTCAGCTCAGAGAGGTGGGCCCAGGAGGACACCTTTCTAGTCTGGGAACAGAGGCCATCTCGGCCGTCTGTCTTGGGGGCTCCATGACTTAGAGGAATCCCTCATCCTCTGGGCAGACCCTCCCGCTCTCCACGTGAGGGCAATCCTAACCAGAGGCTCCCCTCCGAGGGAGCCTGGGCTGGTTCTGATGTGGCCAGAGTTCTTCGCACAGGCCTGTCCTGAAGCAGAAGCTGATGGAGAGCGGCAGACAGCTGCTCAGCTGGGTGATTCCCAGTTGGTTTCTGACAGTGGAGAAGGAACTGTGTCTTGCTCAGCCTTCTGCTCCCACACTTGCCAGCATAGTGGCCCTCCATATAATAGGTACTTCCCAAATAGCTGGCAAGCGAGCAGGTGACCCGGCTGGGGGAGGAGGGATGCAGGAAAAAGGATGACCTGAGCCATGTGGCTCTGGAGGAAGTAGATCTCTTCTGGATTTATTACTTTGTTGATTTTTTTTTTTTTAATACACTATTGATGATCGAGTTGAAAAGTTTTAGGATCAGGGAGGGACTTCCCTGGCAGTCCTGTGGTTAAGACTCCTCACTTCCACTGCAGGGGGCGCGGGCTTGATCCCTGGTTAGGGAACTAAGATCCCGTGTGCAGCATGGTGCGGCTGAAAGAAAGAAAAGTTCCAGGGTCAAACTTGCTGGCTCCCTAGCCATAAGGAGGCCCCTTGTGTGGCCAGGTTGTCATTGTCCCAGCAGGTCGTACATCACACGCCAGCACCATAGCAGCCAGCTGTGTCTGCTCCTCCTTCCTGGAATGTCCACTCGTGGCCTCCATGGCATCCAGGGGGACCTTGCTTTGCTGGGCAGGTGATGCATTTGGGAAGCTGAGGGGCTCTCTGCTCTCCAGAGGCCATGTTGGGGGTCCTGAAGACCACCCTCAGGTTTAACGTTCCCCTAGAAGGACTTAGAGAATCGGCTGAGCTGTTATCCTCGCCGCTGTGGTTTGTTACAGCAGAAGAGTGCAGATCAGCATCACCCAGGGGACAGGCTGGCAGGCAGGGTCTTGGAGAGCCAGCACAGGCTCCACCCGTGCTCTCCCCGAGGAGCTGTGCGCAGCCCGCACTTCCCTGGGGCGACATGCGTTCTCCCCCGGCTCAGCTGCCCACCTGGCCTCTCCAGATGTTGCGCCGTGTGGCTCAAGGCTCCACTGTAACCACGTTGACTGCACAAACTGTCGGGCTGGCCTGAGGACGCAGGGACGTCAAGTCACTCTTCAGGGTGGTCCAGGGCACAGGGCCAGACAGGGCCTTCCTGGGGAACATGCGGTGTAGGCAGCCAGGCCTGCTGAACTAGCCGCCCGTTGCCCCCCATCAGCCCCAGCACCCCGCACACGGCAGGGGGCAGCAGCCTGCTGCCTGTGCCCTGGTGGTTCTTGGCCACCTAGGAGGACTAGCTCCTGCTTCCGCCGGGACAGAGCCCCAAGTCTGTGTGTGCCCCGGCATGCTGGCCAGGGGCCTAGGGAGGGCCTGCGGTGACTGGGGGGCTAAGGGGTGCAGCGCCGGGCCATCTCACCCTCCCAGGAGCTCGTGCGCCAGCGAGGGGCCTTGGAGCACGCGGAGAAGATGGTGGACAAGATGGAGCAGGACCTGAAGACCAGCCAGAAGCACATCAGCTCCATCAAGAGTGTGTTCGGGGGGCTCGTCAATTACTTCAGGTCCAAACCCGCGGAGACCCCGCCTGCGCAGAATGGCATGCTCGCCCCCCAGCCCAGTGGCAGGTGAGCAGG